GATTTGGGATTGGGATTTGTCCAGTTTGGGCTTATGGGATTTCAAGTATAATTGGAAAATCCCATTTGTCCGGGTTTTTCCATGGAAAAATCCCAAATCCCAAACGTTTGTGCGGCATGTATAGGTGTGATTATAGAGAGTATATTTTAATTTACTGTATACTGTATATTATAAGTAGTTAAAACCAACGTGATCACGCGCAATATATATATCTGGGGGAAAAGGCCGCATTTTTTCCAAGTACGTACGTACGTACGTAAAAAAGTTTTTTTATTTGGTAGTTAGAGATATTTTAATTACACTCCCCAGTCTGTTATTCTGTTATACAATAATATTATTTGTGGTTCGCGCGACAGTCAACTCATTTACATCACGCCAAGTGACAATTCACATGTACGTACCTGCAACTTATCTGATTTTCTGCGTTCACGGAATTGGTTCCTGGATTTAGGATCTAAAGTCATCATAGTGCTGGCTGACATTAATTTGGCCAGAATTGGCGGATTATAATGCTGGCCGACTTTACGTAATTCTGGCCAATCGCTGAATCATTTTTTATCACGGCATCAAGATTATCTAATTACCGCGTATAAAAAAAAATTGAAATTTAATCTACTTCTATATTTAAAATGGTAGTGCGTCAAGTTTTTCGTTTATATGGATTGGTGCCGCGCGTCCCTAACAACTTCTTTAATGCTTCTCTGGGGATAACATATTCCCTTAAAAGACAAAGGTATCCACATAAATTTACTCGACTTCTAAGCTTAACACCTATAGTGCGCGTGGACAAACCAGAAACAGAGGACACAGTCTTGAAATCAAAAAAAAACAATATCCGCTTTTTTACTTCTAGTTCGACCATTTCAGAACAAACAAATAATGAAGTCGACAAGCCGAAATCTAAAGCAAGTTCGTTGGTTCGAAGTATTTTTCATGGCTCGCCAGCTGCTAAAGAAGAGGAGAAGCAAACGCATTCTAAGTTACTTGCACGTGGGAAATATGTTCACGAGTTGCAAAGTTAGAATCTGATACTATATCATAGCTATTGTTAACTTTTAATTAACAGTCCTTCAGCATTGCTTACATTCATTTTTATTTATTTAGAACACAAAATAAAGCCAGAATATCTCGAAGATTATATAAAACTCGTGTAAGCATATTAGATGAACTTGGTATTATCTCCTTCCCTTTATATTTATACCATAGCTAATTTATGGTTATATATCCCGAATTGAGTTCTGAACATTATCCACGCATTGCCAATGATAAGGAAAATTTCGTTCATCTATGTGGTAGTTGGCAGACTGAAATTGGCGATCTAGATACATTTTGTAAGTTAATGTATATCAGCATTCTCTTTGCATATTCATATCAATTTCGTAATAAAATATAAAAAATAATGCAATTTGTTTATTGCATTTTCGTTAGTTCATATCTGGGAATATAAAGGATATTCAGGATATCATGATACACAGAATCGGATCAAAAAAGATGTTGTAAGCTATTAAATGTCTTTCTATAAATAATAGAAATATGTTATATATATATATTTCAGTGTAATAATCTAGTTTGATATTTCTAGCATTATCAAAGATTCGCCAAAGAAGTAAGACCAATGATTCTTCAGCGTACCAATCAAATTTGCCTTGAATTTGCTTTTTGGCAAACTAGTCCCCCAAAAGTTTATGGCGGGATTTATGAATTAAGAACCTATCAGCTAAAGGTATACTTCATTAGATTTCAGTCTGTATTGAGTACTACATTTTATAATATACTTATACAAATGTATATTAATACCACCTTATCGTTACAGCCTGGACATTTACTAGATTGGGAATCTTATTGGTATATATGCAATCAAACGTTAACACGTGATACTTATCAATAATCCTATCCATTATATTTATTTTAGGAATCGCGGGTTAGAATGTCGTAGACAATTTTGCGAGCCAGTTGGAGCTTGGTTTTCTCAATTAGGTGATCTCAACTATGTGCATCACATGTGGCAATATCCGTAAGTCCAATTTTATTTCTAATTTACAAATTATAAGAATTGAATTTTTAGTAATTTACTTTGGATATAGCGACTTGGAGAAACGTAAAATTACACGCGAACAAGCGTGGCAGGTGGATGGATGGGCCGAAACTGTTTATAAAACTGGTAAGTAATTGTTGACAATTTATATTTATAACTGGTTCTAATCATTTTATCCATAAATAAATAGTTCGGTTGGTTCGCAGTATGGAAACAAACATTTTGAAACCTCTCGACTTTAGTCCACTTCGATGATATGACAATGATTACTAATTGATGGACTTTGTATTTCCGCTTTTTACAATCAAAAATACGTATCAATCGTTTGGTTTTATTTATATATCTGAAATGTAATACGAAAACTTATATAAATTAATATCAATTTTTAAAGATTGTCTATAAAATCTTAATATTATCGTATTAATTCTATTTGAAATGCAATAATAATTTATAAAACCATGCATGCATATACAGTGTATAAACAAAACTATTTGATTTCTCTAAATTTTATCATAATAACTACCTTAAAATCCCGAAAATAAGCATCACACCCTCTACCCTACTTTTTAGACCTCAGATTAGCGGAAATAGCAATAAAGTCTTTACTCAAGTTATTCCCGTTA